CCTGCCCAGGAGCCGCTGCCGCCTGGCTCGCTGGGGCCGCGGGGGTGAGCAGGGGCCCCACTCAGGGCTGGGCGGCGCCGGGCGGGACTCCTCGGCAGCGCAGGCTCCCTTTTTCTCTTCCAGAACCTGCGCCTGGACCCAGCACCCTGCTTGAGGCGGAGCTGTTGGGCAGCTGGTGGTGTCACTGCCTGTATGGCCGCGAGGGGGCGTCAGTACCGCCGCCAGGAGACCCTCCGCACGCGCTCTGCCCCGCCTACCGGGAGGAGGAGGAGGCGGGCCGCTGCTGGGTGAGCGACGGGGGCGGGGCCCGCGGGTCTCAACGCGGGTGGTTGCCGGCGCAGGGTCTGAGAGGAACTGGGAATGAAGCAAGAGAGCTCTGCGGGCAGGGACGGGATTAAGGCGGGGCCTCTCGCTAGGGGCGGAGCCTAGCCCTGGAAGACTTTGGGGAGGGGCCTGAGACCGGCCCTGGGCGATGTCTGACCTTCTTGCTATTCCTAGATTTAAAGAAAATGTTAAAGTGAGGGCTGATTTACACAGATAACTATTGGAGCCTGGCTTGGAGGAGGTGGGACTTGTTTTGCCTGAGTACAAGAATGGAGTACAGGAAAGCCCCAGGACCTTTCGATAGCCTCTCACCAACTTGCACACGCTCTTGCTGCAGAACTATTCTCATTGGAGCCTTCTGTGCCAGGAGGAGGGGACCTGGTTCCTGGCTGGAATCAGCGACTTCTCCAGTGGCTGCCTACGTCCCAGAGCCTTCTACCCCCTGCAGACCCATGGCCCGTGGATCAGCCATGTGACTCGGGGAGCCTACCTGGAAGACCAGCTGACTTGGGACTGGGGCCCTGAGGGGGAAGAGACTGAGACACAGACTTGTCCCCCCTCCACACAGCCTGGTGGTGAGGGCTTAGGGCTTAAAGTCCCCTTAGGGCTTAGAGGGCTTTGGGGCTCCTGCATGTGCTAAGATCCATGGCAGAGTCTTCAGGGGTCAGCTGTGGAGCCCCCACTTAGGTGGTGACCTCCTCTCCCGTAGCCTGTGGCCTGCGGCCAGAGCCGGCTGTGGTGGGTGTCCTGTGGCCCTGGCTGGCAGAGGTGCATGTGGCTGGAAATCAAGTCTGCACTGGGATCCTCGTGGCCCCAGGTTGGGTCGTGGCAGCCACTCACTGTATCCTCAGGTGGGTCTCACCCATCTCTTGGGCAAGAGGGAAAAATGGAGAGATGGGCAAAGGACTTTTAAAATAGTAGGATAGTCTCCCTTTTGGGCTCTTACAGTACAGGGAACTGCTACAAGTGTTTTGAGATAGAAGAGAAATTTGGAAGGAGCTAGTGGAATGACCTTGGAGTTCATTCTGCCCTGTCCCCTGCATTGAGCAGGACTTTCCAGCAATTGGGGGAGCAGGAGGTCACATTGGGCATTGTTCCGACAGGCCGGGCTCTACAACAGTGCCTTATATTGAAGTGTACCTGGGCCGGGCAGGGGCTAGCCCCCTCCCACAGGGCCACCAGGTATCCCGGTTGGTCATCAGCATCCGCCTGCCCCGACACCTGGGACTTCGGCCCCCCCTGGCCCTCCTGGAGCTGAGCTCCCGGGTGGAACCTTCACCATCAGCCTTGCCCATCTGTCTTCATCCAGGGGGTATCCCCCTGGGGGCCAGCTGTTGGGTGCTGGGCTGGAAGGAACCCCGGGACCGAGGTGAGAGCCCAGGGTTCTGGGGTTGAGAGGTGACTGAAGACCAGATCCCTGCGACATCCCTATCCCTCTCTCCTTTCTCTAGTCCCTGTGGCTGCAGCTGTCTCCATCATGACACCACGACTCTGTCAGTGTCTCTATCAAGGCATTCTGCCTCCTGGGACTCTCTGTGTTCTGTATTCGGAGGGTCAGGAGGACAGATGTGAGGTAAAAGGGTCTGGGCGTCCTGTTCCAGGGAGGGGAGAGGCAGTGCTGGGCAGCTGGACCCTAGAGAGAGAGCAGGGTTGGGATTCTTGAGTGCTGGGCCCCACATGGGAAGAACCGTGCTTCCTCGCTGAACCTCAGAGAGAGAATAGGGGCCAGGATGCCTAAGGATGTAGACAAGCAGTGCTTTGTGGTTGGACTCTAAGGAGAAGGTGCAGGGAAATCAGAAGGAAGGGTAAGAGACCCTTTTGGGCTTGGCCCTGACACTGCAGGTGACCTCAGCACCTCCGCTCCTGTGCCAGACCGAGGAAGGCTCCTGGGTCCTCATGGGCATGGCTGTTCGAGGGAGCCGGGAGCTATTTGCTGCCATTGGCCCTGAAGAGGCCTGGATCTCCCAGACAGTGGGGGAGGCCCATTTCCTGCCTCCCAATGGCTACCCCTACTGGCCCCCTGAAGGCAGCGACCTCTGCCCGCCCGACATGGCCAGGGCCTCAGGCTCCCCTCAGGTTGCTCTGTTGCTGCTGCTACTTACCTCCCTGATCCAGGGCTGAGGGGGGCCTGGGTCCCTGGGCTACCTCTCCTCCTCCTCCTCCTCCACCCCCTTAGCCGTCCACTTCCCTCCCTGTGGGGCTGGAATGTGGCCTAACCGGCTTTGTTCCCTTGCCGGAACCTCCAGAGCGTCCCGCCCACCTGGACTGCAGCGGCTTGGATAATTGGGCCTCTGTGCCTGGCTATTTTGGGCACGGGAATCCTTGGGGGCCGTGGGAAGCGGGACAATAAAGGTGTAAACATAGACACGTGGCCTTATGGCATTGCTGGGGGCTGGCTGAGGGGCTGGGGGAAGCCCAAGGGCTAGGGCCCATCCCTTCTGGGCCTCTGTGAGTCAGGCCTTGGGCTCCCAGGAAATGTGTCCCCGATAACGTGGCAGCTGTCCCTCATTCCTGCCCCAGGGCGGGGGAGGTTGGGTGGCAGCTGGGTGTGTGTCACCTCCCCAGTGGAATCAGCATCCCTGGCACCTGCCAGAAACTTCAGCCCTAGCTCAGACCCCTACTTCCCTTCTCTTCCTGCCACCCCCCACCCCCACCCCCACCTCCCTCCACAAAGACTGAGGGTGAGCGTTAGAGGAAGAGTCCAGGAGTCTGGGAGTGCAGAGGGTCTGTCTGCCTTATCCTATATCCACAGACAGCTGCCCCTCATATACACACCCTGATGAATGTCCCAGGGTGTACACCTCCAGTGTCCCCAGTACACATACATGACACTTATGTGTGACCCTTAAAGGGTCCCCCACTTCATATCCTGCCCAGTGCCCCCAGAATTTGGGCACCATCATATGTCCTTGTGTGTACATCCCACTGCCTCACCCACCACTTACTAGTGCACCTTCCTACATGAATTCAACCACATTCCCTGCGAACTACTAGGTCCTGGGGTCTGGGGTCTGATAGATAAGCCCCTGAAGTGCTCCCAGTGTAGTGGGGAACACATATGGACACCCCTGCCTGGGCATCAGGAATAGGTCATGGAAGAGGTTGATGTTTGAGTGCAGAAAAAAGGCACGTGGAGACATGGGGAAGGGGACGTGCTTGAGGTGGAAGCCAGTCCCTCCCTATAAAGGTGGCAGAGGGGTCACCTCAGGGGCTGGAGTCCCCATCACTAGGTAGAGTGGGCAGAGGATGGGGGAGGGGAAGTAGGGAGTTCCTGGGAGATTGAGGAGAGGGGCAGAGGTTCTTAAAGGGACAGGCTTATCATTAGCTGCCAAATCCCAAAGAGAATATTCCCCTGGATAGGACATACATCCCCACCTGCGTTCCATGGCCAGTCAGTCACCCATATGCCACCCCCCATAAACATTTAATACAACCATCCTCTCCCCCAAACCCACCACAGTGTCCAATGTTGCTCCATCTTACCCGGCTTAGACTCTTTCCGAGTTAGCTAGTGAGTTAGCTTCTAGCCCCTCACCCACTCCAGGAATTCCTTGCCCTTCAGGAGGGGCCCTGAAGTTTTTGGCTGGGAGGCCCCCAGTCTTATGGAAATTAGGTGGGGAAGTGGGGCTCTGTTTTTCTGAGGCTTGAAGCCAACACACATGCCTAGTTGTCCACAGACTTATACACTGATTTAGGATGAACCTGACCCCAACCTGGCCACATGGGCTTTCGTCTCCTGGACTTGTGCCACCTGCATCCTCCACCTGAGAACACTTTCCCTGGACCACCCTCCTCCCATATTTGCCTTAACACTCTTCCATAGCCCCTCTGGCCGCAGTTCTAACCGCACCTTCTTGAGGAGCCCTTCTTTACGCCAGCCTACGTCAAAGCTCCTGTGAACAGGCCCCCAGAGTACCCGTTCTTCTTTATCAGAGTGCCTAGCTTGAAATTATTCTATAATTGCTATGTGATTATTCAATTCAAAGCTGTCACCCCTACTTCACTGTGAGCTCAGCGAAGGCAGAGATGTTGTGTTTTGTCTCCTGTGCCTGGAACATAGTAGGCACTCAGGAAATATTTGTGAGATGATTGGCGCTTGCCAGTCACACTCACCACACCTCACCACACACAGATGATGCTGCAGGCTCTATAGAAGGCCCTGAAACGGCAGGCCCAGGGAAGACCCAGGTGTCCTGAGCTCAGTCAGATACCAAGCAGAAGAAGGGAAGAAAGGAGGAGCGCGGTGGCCCCAGGACAACAAAGGCTGGGCCAGGCCCTGGGGGGACATAACTGCTCTGTGAGACCTGAAAGACCGGGGGCAAAAGGCAAGGGGTTTCCAGTCCCTTCTGGGGGGTGTGCGTGCGTGCATGCGTGCGTACACACACACACACACACACAAACGGCCCGGGGGTCTAGGAGGACTTAGGACTGTGTTGGCAAGAAAAGCCGCAGGAGCTAAGTGAGGAGGGCGGGGCTAGGGGAGGGGCAGGCAGGTAGGTGCCTTTCTCCACGGATCCACCACCCTCTGGAAGGTCTCTACGTAGCCAGACCGAGCGGGAGACGTGTCCTCACTGGCGGCTGCGGAAACCCCAGCGTCTCCCCTTGTGCTTTATTTCTTGCCTTCGAAGCTAGCCTTGGACATCTCTTCCCCCTTCCCAGCGCGGATTCTAGGATCCCTTCCCTCTGGGCCTGATTCCTGGATCTTGCCTTCGAAACCAGCCCCAGGTCACTTCCCTTGGGTGCCTGGTGTCTTCCCAGGGGCCCTGGTCCTGGGCCATGGCCCACAGGGCGGGCCTGGGGCTTGGTCAGCTGGAGGCTGTGGCCATTCTGCTTTTACTCGGATTATTCCCGTCCGGGCTTGGTGAGTACGTGCGGGTCAGAGAGTGCGGGGCTCAGGGAAGGGGTGGTGCACATAAACTGGGGCTATAATCTTTTTCTGGGCACATCCCTTATCCTGGGCTCAAGAACCCACCCACCCCAGCTTCAGTCTCCCTAGCTCTTGTCCTCTGCCTCTCCCTTCAGCTTCGGCCTCCTGGGAGTCAAGGGGGTGGGGAGGACCGTCCCCTGGAGCAGTGGTAGGTGCTAAGGGGCCTGGGAACTCTGGTCTTTCCTGTTTACCCTTTCCTCTTTCTCCCTCCAGGAGCTGACTGGGAGGAAGGTGAGGCTTGCATGGGGGAGGGGAAAGGAAGGGAACAGGGATTCAGATTCCAGTGGAATGTTTCATGAGTGCCTGACCCTCTCTTTGTAGAGCCGTCTCAGCCACTCTTACTACCATATGTAAATCCCCCCATCAGTTCTGTGAGATGGGGATTAGGGCCCTCATTTTACGGAGAAAGAAACTGAGATAGAGAGGGAAATGACTTAGCCAAGAGCACACAGCCAATAAGAGGTGTAGCTGGGATGTTACACCCAGGTCTGACTCCAGAGGTGGGTCCTTTGAGGAAAATAAACCAGAGATTTCCTTTCTTCTAAGGCACACCACTTGACTCTGAGTCCGGTTTTCAATCCCCACTTCGCCAGATCCTACGGCTATGTATCCTTGGCCAGTCCCCTCACCTCCAAAATGGAAGTTGATTATGTTTGCCTCCTGGGGCCCAGTGAGGAGTCACGGAGATAGAGGAAGTGAAAGCCCTCTCCCAGCCTGGCATTGCTTGAACAGTCACTAAATAGTAGCTACTGTAGTTGTTATGAGGAGAGAAGGAGGAGCTTGGCTGGGCAGTTTTCTCTGCTCTGGGGAAGATGACTTTGTGAAGGGCTGTTGGGTCCTGCTCCGAATGGTAGCCTCAGTGGTGGTGAGGCTGTCCTGGAAACCAGATGTTCAGTGTAGGAGTCCTGTTGTTTGTTCAACACACATCCACCACTCCAACTGTGTGTCCAGCCCTGTTCTGGCCACTGGGGACAAGGAGATCTGCTCCAGTCCCTGTCACTAGGGAATGCCCAGACTGGTGCAGTTGAAACAGTCACAGACCATCATGACTGTGTGATGGGGCAGTGTTGGGGGAAGTTGGGGGAGCCCTGGGAGCTGCCGTCCTCGTCTAACTCAGCGAGCAGACTCAGGGCAGGTTAAGGAGTGCCTGACATTTGAACGGTCTCCATAGGCAAATAGGTTTGGTGAGCAGGAAGGGATGAAGAAGGGTATTCTAGACAGAGTGACCTGAATAAGCAAAGGTCTAGAGGCAAGCAAGTATGTGGCGCAATGTGTGTGACAGAAGTGTCCAGAGGGATGGTGGCTGGAGTAAATGGTAGTGCCATGGAAAGTCTAGAATGTATCTTAAGAGCAATGTGGAGCCAGGGGAGGATTTAAGCAGAGTCATGACCTGATCAGATTCGTGGTTTATAAAGATCTTTTGACTTATAAGGAGTGGGCTGAATGGAAGGTGGGAGGACCTGAGATAAAGGAAGGTGGACGAAACTTGGGTTGGGTAACGAGGATGGCAAGGAGCCAGAGCTAACCATGCCCTGTGAGCAGTGGGGTGAGAACAAAGGGGGGATGGTTGGCTCCTGTGAACTCACTTCCCAAGCTCCGAACCAGATTGTCTGGGCTATACGGGGAACGGCAGGGCTGAGGACCTGGGATGGGGGCCCCAGAAGGACCTGACCCCCTCCCCTTCCTCCCTGGGCAGCCTTCTGCGGCGTGGCCTCCCAAGCACGCATCACAGGTGGTAGCAGTGCAGCCGCTGGCCAGTGGCCCTGGCAGGTCAGCATCACCTACGATGGCACCCACGTGTGTGGTGGTTCTCTCGTGTCTGAGCAGTGGGTGCTCTCAGCTGCTCACTGCTTCCCAAGGTACCAGCTGGGTGGCGGGCCGGGTGGGGAAGTCAGAAGTGGATCAGTCTGGGCCAGAGACTGGGGTTTTGGGGTTGGGTCTAGGGGTGTCAATAAAGTCTGAAAGGATCAGTCAGGAGTGAAGGCCAGAGGTCACAGGTCACAGGATAAAACGAGCATGCAGTGTGGGATCAGAACCCGGGGTTGGATATAACAAGGCAACAGGGATCAGGGACCTAGGAGAGGTCTCCTGGGTCCCAGCCTTGGCCCCTCTGCCTGCAGGGAGCACGCCAAGGAGGACTATGAGGTAAAGCTTGGGGCCCACCAGCTGGACTCCTACACACCTGAGGCTGAGGTCCGCACCGTGGCACAGGTCATTTGCCACTCCAGCTACCACCAGGAGGGCTCCCAGGGTGACATTGCACTCCTCCGTCTCAGTAGCCCTGTCACCTTCTCCCGCTACATCCGGCCCGTCTGCCTCCCTGCAGCCAACGCCTCCTTCCCCAATGGCCTCCAATGTACTGTCACTGGATGGGGCCACGTAGCGCACTCAGGTGAGGTGGGCGCTGATGCCTAGAGGCATGGGGGGGCAGTGCCTGACTCAGGGTAGGACCCCCCAGCTAAGCACCTTTCGCCCCTACAGTGAGTCTACTGGCCCCCCGGCAACTTCAGCAACTTGAGGTGCCACTGATCAGCCGAGAGACGTGTAACTGTCTGTACAACATTGCCGCCAAGCCTGAGGAGCCCCACTTTATCCAGCAGGACATGCTGTGTGCTGGCTACGTGAACGGGGGCAAGGATGCCTGCCAGGTAAATGCAGGGAGTCCAGTGAGACAAGTGCGTCTTGGGAGACGTGGGCCGGATGGGGCCGGCATGGACGGCTGGAGGCCTGGGGCTTAGACCTGACAGTTACTGTATGGCTTTTCTCTTCAGGGTGACTCTGGCGGCCCACTCTCCTGCCTTGTGGGGGGCCTCTGGTACCTGGCAGGGATTGTGAGCTGGGGCGATGCCTGTGGGGCCCCCAACAGGCCTGGCGTGTACACTCTGACCTCCAGCTATGCCTCCTGGATTCACTATCATGTGACAGAACTCCAGCCTCGTGTGGTGCCCCAAATCCAGGAGTCTCAGCCCGATGGCCATCTTTGCGTCAACCATCAGGCCTTCAACTCTGCCCCAGCCCAGGGCTTACTGGGGCTTATCCTTCTGCTGCCACTAGGCCTGACCCTGGGCCTCCTCTGCTGAGCTGGTCATCCTGGGAAATGACCCCGCTTCCAGGACTTCCACACTGCCCCCAAGAACAGATGGACCTGGCTCTTCCCTGACATCTTTTGGGCCTGGGGACTGGCTTCCTTCCAGAACCCTGCGGGAGTCCAGGGCACCATCCTGACCTTCGAGCCCACTCTTCTGGGTTTGTTCTATGGGACTATGGTCCAGAGTCAGGAGTTTTACTACCTGTGGTATTGGCTAGAACCTCTAGCCACCTCCACCGACTGTTCACAACCCTACTGACTGGGCTCCTGTGTAGCCTCTAAGGACCCTTAGCGATGAAAATGAGCCCAGGCTCCCCACCCTGTTTCTAGAAAACTGGGTACCTGCCCAGCTAATTGCTGCTAAAGAACTGGCTCCAGCACCCCACCAGTTCTGCCTGATGAACCCCATCACTTCACCTTCTTCCTGTATTCTGAGCTGGAGCTGCCTCTGGGCAGCCTGTTTTCAAGAACAGAAAAGGCCCCAATCTTGCCCCATCGGCTGCCATGCCTTCCTTGAACCTCGACTCCTAGACTCCGGAGGACTGAGCCCCCACCGGAACTGGGCTTGGGCTTGGATCTGGGGTGAGGGGCAGAAAGAACAAGAAGGAGTAAAATGTTTTGAGCACAACTGGCTCTGTGTGTGGCGTGCAACAAAGAACTTCGGCTCCTAGCCTCTCCCTCCCACCTCCAAAGTCCAGAACCACTGGCAGAACTTACTTTATTAAAAAAAAAAAAAAAAAAAAAACAACGACGAAACAAGTTTGTACATATTTACAGGCTAGGGGACAAGGAGGCAAAGGTCCAGCAGCAGGGGCACAGGCCACTCACTTCTTGGAGAGTTTGACTTGCTTGTGCTTGGGGGGGGCCCACTTGAGACAGACAGAGTCCACTGTGGGGAGAGAGACATGAGAGGCAAAGCTGGGACTCTGGGCCCAGGCCAGGTGTCACCTCTAGGTGAGAACAAGGGCAGCTTGAGCTGGGAAGGGGGTAGGGAGGCCTGGGAATGACTAGACTGCCCCAGGCTTCGGTCCTGGGAGCTGGTCAGACTAGTTTGGGATCATGTGACAGCAAAAAGGTAGCCTTGGCTCCCGGTAGACCTCAACACCTACCCCCTGCCACACACAACCTGGGCAGCCCCCCACCTACCTGTTATGGGTGGTTTCTTATACTGAGCACTTTTGAGGTGTTCTTCTACCAGCTTGGGTGTGACGCAGATCACATGCTGGCCCTTCCAGTACTTGACCATATTGAGGGACTGCAGGGTGCTGATGATGTCATTCTGGGTGATGCTGGTCATCTGACTGCAGAAAGGGATTGGAGTATATGCTGGGGAGAGTTCCCTTGTGGGGTATGACTGGGACAGCAAAAAGGGACAAGGAGACAGACAAGATCATGGCCAACCTTAGAAGAACACTTCCCTCTTTAAGTTCCAGGGCCCTCACCTGAGGTCCTTGATGGACAATGTGCCCCGGAAGTCTCGCAGGATCTCCAGCAGGACCCAAGACCAGTAGCTGCGGTAGCTGAGCTTGCCCAAGTCAGACAGTGGCTTCTCAGGGGAGCCTACTGTGCTCTCTAGCTTGGAGAGCTCATAACCTGGCAGTGGTGGAAAAAAGGATTCTGAGGACCCAGCCCTGCTCTGGCTCCCCCCAATAGCTGCCCCTTCCCTGACAGGCCAGGAACCACTCACTGAAAGCAATGAGGAATTTTCCATAGCCACGGCGCTGGTAGGGGGGCAGAGTCAGGATGCAGGCCACATTGTTCCCATCTGGAGACTCCTTCTCCTACAGGGGTGTGTGGTCAGGGCCTCTGGGGAGGCTCAGCCCCTTCTCTGGTTCATAGTCCCCACCCTCCCTCCACCTGGGCCCTCCAATCCAGCACCTTAGAGAAGTAGCCAACAATGTGGGCCCCCTGCCTGTCCACTTCAGTCAAGATGTAAAAGACGAAGGGCTCCACGTCGAAGTACAATGTCTTGTGGTCCAGGAAAAGCTTGGCCAGCAGACACAGGTTCTGACAGTAAATCTGAGAGGCGGGAGAAGTGGAAGCTGGCTCAGGGAGCAGGTGTAACTCCCCCACCTAGCTCCACTGAGGCCTGGGCTGTGGCTGCCACCCTGCTTTGCATGTGCCAGTGCCAGGCCCGTGAGAAGTGGGCTCCTCACAGAACAGTAGTATTTAGAATTGGAGGCAGTCTTACCGTCATTTTTTGATGGACAGGGAAACTGAAAACCAGAGAGCTGGATTAATCTGTTACCACTTCTTTTTTTGTTTTCTTTCTTTTTTTTTTTTTTTTTTCCCAAAGATTTTAAGTAATCTCTACACCTAATGTGGAGCTCAAACTCATGACCCTGAGATCAAGAGTTGTGTGCTGCACCAATAACCAGCCAGGTGCCCAACTCAGTTACCACTTTTTTTTTTTTTTTTTTTTAATAGACTCTATGCCCAGCTTTGGAGCCCAAAGTGGGGCTTGAACTCATAACCCTGAGATCAGAACTGAAACTTAGACAATTGAGCCACCCAGGCACCCCTCAGTTACCATGTCTAAGTGCTAAATAGGAGTTCAGTCTTCAGGGACATTAACTCTTATGTTTCAGATTGGCAAACTGAGGCTCAAGGAGATATGGCTGGCATGAGGTCCCATGGCTGGTGAGTGCTATGGCAGGATTCAAACTGGTATAGGACTTCTGTCTCGTTCATAGCAAGTGCCGAGCTTTATTGCTTAGCCTTGTGCTTGGCAAATGTTTGCTGAATGGATGACCTCTGAGCCTGACTCCAAAGCCTGAGCTGTCTGCCCACTTGGGTGCACTCCTCTGCTGGGCCTCAGCAGCCTCCTTGCTGCAGGCCCAGATACCCACCCACACCAGCTAGAGACCAACATCAGGAGGGACAATGAGACCGTGAGGCTGGCTTCATGGCACAGATCATGAGGCCCGCTGGTTTATGACACCTTTTATATCCACTCTTATTTGATCCAACAATTGTGAAGTCCAGCACTGCTTGTGCACTTCACTCAGGAAGAAACCGAGGCTTTGGGAAGGGGCAGTGCTTGCTTGAAGCTTCAGGGTTAACCTAGAGCTAGAAAGAACACCCACACCTCCTGCTGGAGCCCTTTCTGCTATTCCCACTGTTCAGGCTCAGGCAAAGCAGCGGACTCGGGCCAGGCTAAGGGCTAATATTCCCCAAGCTATTTATCACAAGGCTGACTTAGCCCGAGGGGTCACCAATAATAACAAAGGCCCATGTTTACCAAGCACCGACTTGATGCCAGGCACTGTGTTAAGTACTTGGCATTTCTGTCTCATTTGTTCCACCAACAGCCCTATTAGGTAAACATTATCATAACTCTTATCTTATAGATGAGGAAATAGGAACAAACAACGTTAAGTAACTTGTCCAAGGTCAGCTACCAATAACAGGACAATTTGAAGCAGGAGCCACTCAGAAGCCTTCCCTCTTTTCCTCACACTCTACTGCCTTTCCATGGGAAACAGGGACACTTGGTGAGACCTTGCCAGGCAAAGGCCAGATTCTCAACGGCAGCAAAGCAGGCCCTAAATGCCCCACCCTCCCCCACTGAGGTCTTTCTGCCAGAAACAAGGAACTCAGCTGTCAGAGCCATACCGGCATCAGGCAGAAAGTCTCACACAAAGCAGTCCCCTCCCAGGAAAGAAACCTTTCCTTCAGGCAGAAAGAGAAAGCGCTTCAGGGGCACCTGGGTGGCTCAGTCCGTTAAGCAGCTGACTTCGGCTCAGGGCATGATCTCGCGGTTTGTGGGTTCGAGCCCCGCGTCAGGCTCTGTGCTGACAGCTAGCTCAGAGCGGGGAGCTGGTTTTGGATTCTGTGTCTCCCTCTCTCTCTGACCCTCCCCTGCTCACGCTGTCTTTATCTCTCTCTCTCAAACAAGTAAATAAAACATTAAAGAAAGAAAGAAGGAAGAAAGGAAGGAAGCAAGGAAGGAAGGAAGGAAGGAAGGAAAGAAAGAAAGAGAAAGAGAGAAGGAAAGAAGGAAAGAAAGAAAGAGAAAGAGAGAAGGAAAGAAGGAAAGAAAGAAAGAAAGAGCGCTTCTCAAAGCAGCCTCTGGCATGGCAATCTCTACTGTGGGTGTCAAAATTGCCCAAAACTAAGCTACCCATCAGGAGGAAAGTCTTCAGGGACAGAACAGAAACCCAGTCCCTAAGACTGATACCACAGGGCCATGTGTCTACCATGCACCAACCATAGGTCATGTGCCAGGCTAAGCACGATCCACAGGCCTTTTCCCGGTGGGGGCCTGTCCCAAGACTGGCTTCTACCCTTTCGGTGACAATGAGGATCATCCAAGAGGTGCCAGTGCTCCCCACACCGCCCCACAGCACCTCGGCCGTCTAACTCACCTTGTGGTCTTTGCCATCTACCTCATACACAGAGATGTTGCTCTTGCGGTAGATCTCCTTCCCTGGGGGCTGCCGCCACTGACACTGGCCCTGGGGGTGGGGATGGGGAGGCATAAGCTTGAGACCCTGAGGTTGGGCTCTGTACTTCACCTACATCAAGTAATCCTGCCAACTACCTGAGGAGACAGAGCCTATCTTATAGATGAAGAGACAGAGGTACAGAGGCTAAATAACTGGCTTGAATATAATACATCTAGATGGTTTCAAGTTCAGATCAGCCTGGCTTTGGAGGACTCTACAGGGCTCTCATCCATGACCATGGCGATTCCTAAAATGTACACATCTACCTCAGACTACACCCTTTGAGAGATACCCTAGTGTTTCCTGCACTGGTGATGTGAGCCCGCAGCAACACCCCCCCTCCCCCAACCCCACTCCCCCAACCCCCCCACCCCCCCTTGCTTCCCATCTGTCCACACCTTACAGTCCCATTGCTCAGGGGCTATGCTTGCTTCCTCTTTTGCACTGAGGAACCTGGCACTGCGCTGGCCTTGATAAACATATGGTGTTTGGGTTGACCTGAGGAAACGGTAAGGGCAGGGATTACTGTCCCCATTTCACAGAAGAGGAAACTGAGGTCTGGGAAAAGGCAGCAAGTTGGCCAAGGTCACTCAAGCAAAGGTAAAGCCAGGCCTAAAACCCAGGTCTCTTGACCCACGGACAGCTCTTCCTTATACTCGACTCCTCTGGGCCTGTCTCTCTTCCCTATCGCTGCAGCCTTGGCAGCCCTTGCCTCCACGCCTGCCTCTCTCCAGGCCCGGCTGGCCCAGTCTCACCAAGTGGAAGCGGTAGCTCTTCTCGAATTTCATGTACTTAAGGCAGTACTCGCAGAGCCACAGCTTGGGCTGTTTCCCATAGTCCTCGGGGAACGGTGAGAAGTACCAGGCATCGATTTCGTAGTTCCCGATGTGGATCTTGTCCACATACTTCACCTTGGTGATCTGTGGGGAACGTGGGGGCCGAGGGCAGTGGATGGCTCAGTCGGAGCAAGCAAAGCCGGGAGAGGGGGTACCCGCAGGCAGGAGCCCTGCCCCTGCTTACCGCCTCATGTTCCTTTTCCAAGGCTGCTGTTGTGGGGTCCATCTCTGCATAGGTCTGGGCAAGGACAGAGCAGTGGATAGAGGTGAACAGAAGTAGAGGGCAAGTTGTCCCTCCCCTGAACCAGAACCCAGTGCTTCCCTCACATCTTCCAGACCTCAACCTCTGAATGACAATAACCACATGAACAGCTAGCTTGTTTTATCTGGTTTTAAAGCCAGCTGGGCCAAGCTTCTCTCTGACTTTCCCGCCCACCCACACATCCCTGATGCCTGAGTTTGGACCTTTTGCCAGGTGACCTGGGCTTGGATCAGGCCTGGTTCCGGTCTCCTTGGACTAGGAGCTCCAGCTATGCAACGGGAGCTCTGCCAAAATTGTCCTGAGGCAGGGGCGCCTGGGTGGCTTAGTCGGTTGAGCGTCCGACTTTCGCTTGGGTCATGATCTCGCGGTTGTGGGTTCAAGCCCCGCGTCAGGCTCTGTGCTGACTGCCAGCTCAGAGCCTGGAGCCTGTTTCAGTCTGTGACTCCCTCTCTCTCTGCCCCTCCCCTGCTCACACTGTCTCTCTCTCTCTCTAGAAATAAATAAAACATTTAAAAAAAAAATTGTCCTGAGGCATATAAATAACGGATCTTCTCTTCTGTGCAAACAGGAGGGACTGGCGCTGGCCTCCCTGACGTGACTGGACCTCTTTCCTGAGCACCAGGTCCAGGGAGCTGCCTGCCCCACGGGTCGCTCCCACAGGTACATCGGACTTTAGATGTCTAGAAAGGGACTCAACCTGTGCTCCCTGCAAACCTATTCATCCTCCTGGACATCACCCTCAGTCCAACTGCCCAAGACCAGTAGCAGGTCTGCTCTTTTTTTTTTTTAAGTGATTTATTTACTTGAGAGAGAGACCATCGGGGAAGGAGCAGAGAGAGAGAGAGAAAATCCTAAGCAGGTTCCACACTGCCAGCTCAGAGTCCAATGCGGGGCTCGAACTCACAAACCGTGAGATCATGACCTGAGCTGAAACCAAGAGTCGGATGTGTAACCAACTGAGCCACCCAGGTGCCCTGGTCTACTCATAAGACTCCTTCTCTCAGGAGGCTGGTGTCCAATATAGGGCCAAGTCCTGTGAATTCTACCTCCTTGACATCTGTGGAATTGATCCCTCTCTGGAATTCTCCTCCGTCCAACTCCAAATAGCCATTGCCACCATCCCAAGTCTGGACAATTACCTAAGCCTCTGAAGATTCTCAGCCTCCAGTCTCAGCCCCTTCAAATTTACACTATCAATACTTCTCTTCTTGAGGCCTCCGAGCCTTTGCACATGCAGTTCCCTCGCCTCTTGCCACCAAAAAATGCTTACTCAACCTCAAACAGAGCGTAAGCCAGGTGAGTGTGAGATGAGGCAGTTTTATGAGCCATCATGTGTAATTGTTTTTACTGTACTCTTTCCTGTCCTTCAAGGCCTCGCACCCTTCCTGCTCCCTCCAGGAGACCTGACTGGATTCTTCTGACAGAATACGCCCTCTCCTTCTCAATTTGGGAATTCAGTGGTTAACAACAATCCCCTCTACCTGCCCCCAATTGGTGTCCCCTATTTTCCAAGTCCTTAGAAAGCAGGGACTAAAAGTCATGCCATACTCATGACACATCCTACTCTTAAGCCAGACTCTGTAGAAGTAAAGCAAGTACAGCCTAACGATGAAGGGGGGGAGGGGGTCCAAGAAGGCCCATGACCTACACTAGAGACAGGAACCTTGCCGTATAGTTGAGAAGGCAGAAAGGAGCCAGCGTTTTACTCAGACCCCCTTCCACAAAGCACTTTGCCTGTATGGCCTCATTTTACCTTTTCAGCCACCCTGAGACAGAGCATTCTTATTTCTATTTTACAGAGAAGTAAACAGGCAGGGAGAGGTGAGGTCATTTGCCCTCGGGGACTAGCTAGCTGCCATTTATTACAAGTGCCAAGCACTCCACACACATTATTTCATTTAGTCCTCACAAAGAACCAGGGACATGAGTGCTCATTATCCATACTGCACAAAAAGGAAACTGCGGCACAGAGAGGTGAGGTTACAGAACTGGTACTCAGCACTGTCAGGCGCAGGCCCCTGGTGTGTCCAACCCTCAGCCTAACCCCCGTAAAGATGAGGGAAGAGAGATTTTCCTCATAGGCCTCTTTAAAAAACCCACTTCCCAACTCTCACAAAATACAATCCTCTTCTGCAAATGCGTTAAAGAACTACAAAACACTACTTTTTTAAATGCTGCAATTTATTTAGAATTAAACATTAATTAGGCTGTGAAGAACCTGGCTGATTAACTCACCGATTATCCGTCCTTTGATTTTTATCACCACTGGCCCACTGTCATCCACCCTGCTGACTACCAGGCTTTGAGGTACATCTTTGAGACTTAATTTGCTAGTGCAACCTGGTCGAGGAGCTAAAAGATACTCAGACCTATGCTGTTCAGCAGAGGAGCCACTGACCACAAGTGGCTATTTAAACTCATTGGTTCAATTTTATTTTTTAATGTTTATTTATTTTTGAGAGAGAGAGAGACAGAGCACGAGCAGGGGAGGGGCAGAGAGAGATGGAGACATAGAATCTGAAGCAGGCTCTAGGCTCTGAGCTGTCAGCACAGAGGCCAACGCAGGACTCGAACTCACAAACCGTGAGATTAGGAACTAAGCCAAAGTCAGATGCTTAACCGAGTGGGCTACCCAGGCACCCCGAAATTCATTAAATTTAAATAGAATTCTTAGCCACACTAAACACATTTGAAGTGCTCAATTGCCACATGTGGCCAGTGGCTACTCTATCAGACAGTATAGCTATTAAACACTTCCACATATCACAAGAAGGTCAATTGTGGTTAAGTGCAGCCTTAGACCATTTCAATTTCAAAAATTGTTTTTCACAACCCCCAGTATGAAGTGCAGTTGGCACTGTAAACGAGCTGACCTGTTTGTGTATACATGTACGTGTACTTGTAAGTGAAATGAAAGCTGCTCAAAAATAATACTTACCTCTGATAACATACAATGTACTCTGATATTTTCTATCTTACCCTATTTCTTCTTTTCATTTTTAAAAAATTTTTAAGCAATCTCTCTGCTCAACATGGGGCATGAACTCACGATCCCAAGATTAAGAGGTGCATGCTCTACTGAGACAGCCAAGTGCCCCTTTCTTTCATTTTTAAATGTAAATGCCAGTCATAATCCACTGAACTAATCTGACAATCCACTGAAAGTTGCGCCCCACTGTTGGAAAAACACTGCCCCAAAGCACACAACAAACATGCAAAAAGATGAAATCTCACAGGCTGAAGCTAATGAATGTCTAAGTGCCTTGAAACCTCAATAAGCCCTGGTCTCATCTGCACTCCCTGTTTTACAAATCAAGAAACTGAGGCTCGGGGGCGCCTGAGTGGCTCAGTCGGTTAAGCGGCTGACTTTGGCTCAGGTCATGATCTTGTGGTTCGTGGGTTGGAGCCCCATGTTGGGCTCTGAGAGCCTAGAGCCTGCTTCAGATTCTGTGTCTCCCTCTCTCTCTCTGTCCTTCCCCTGCTCAGGCTGTCTCTCTCTCTCAAAAATAAATAAACCTTAAAAAAAAAAAAAAAAACTTTTAAAAAGAAACCGAGGCTCGAAGTGGAGGAAAGTATCCCCCAGGGGCAGGGATACTTTGGTGAAAAGAACCCAGATTTTGGAACGAGTGGCTCAAGTTTCTAGGTGTCAAAGTCACGATTAAGGGCTGGTACGCCAAAGTAGGACAATCTAGTTGGCAAATCTAATTCCTGACTGGGTTCTTAAGCCTATCTGTTCCTCCCCTGTAAACTGGAGATAATTACGATGCTTACCTCACAGGACTGCTGTGAAACTTCAGTGAGATCATGTATTAAAACACTCAGCCTATAACTTTGGCTCACAAGCCAATAAATGTTTGCCATTATTGTTCTAATTCCAGTCCACTCTTTTACTAGCTGTGTAACCTTGGGCATGTTACCTAACCTCTCTGATCCTGCTTCCTCATCTACAAAAAGAAACCATTATTCCTGTGGCATTGAACTGTTAGGAAGGATGTGATAAGCTTATGTACACGCATGACTCAGCACGGTGCTTGGCAACAGCAAGTGCCCAGTATCATTCATTCTCTTCCTTCCCTTTGGACTTCAATTGTTTGTCTGAAGTGGCACAGCAAATAGGAGACAAAGGAGGCTATCGGTGCAGGAGGCCTGAGTTCCAGTCCCAGCTGTGCCATTTACTTGCTGTGAGACTGGAGCAAAGTGCTTGCCCTCTCTGAGCCTCAGTTTTCTTATCTGTGAAGACTCTCTCACAAAACATAGGTAGAGCCCCTTACACGGGGAGCTTGAGAAAGGGGAGGGGCTGGAGCACCTGGTGGCTCAGTCGGTTAAGCAGCCGACTTCAGCTTAGGTCATGATCTAATGGCTTGTGGGTTCGAGCCCCACATCGGGCTCTCTGCTGTCAATACATAGCCTGCTTCGGAGCCTCTGTCTCCGACTCTCTCTGCCCCTCCCCCCGCCCAAATATATAAACATTACAACTAAAAAGAAAGAAAGAAATGGGAACTGCTATGGTTTTGGCGCTGGGACCCAAGGACGCTGGCAGAGCCTCCTGGGGCCTTGGGGAAGGGGAGGGGGCCCGGACCTTCTGCACATGGTTGATCTCATCATGCTTGCGCTTTTGATTGCGAGTGATCTTGCGCTCAGGCTGCTCAGCCAGCTCGCTCAGGTACTTCTCTGAGTTCTTCTGCACGGCATCTTTTACTGTTTTGGTCAGCGCCAGCCGGTTCTTGTCTACCCATTCGTCCAGTCGCCGGTTAACTGTGAGGATAGGCCATGAGGGTGCTGTTCTTCCACCCCTCACCCCTACCCAAGCCCAGGGAGCCCCAAGTCACTCACAGCCCACGTAGTGTACATAGAATTCCTCTCGGCCCTCCTGATCGTTCACTCGAGATTGAATCACTTCAGCAGAATCTGTGAAAGAAAAAGGATAGGATCATCAGGAAGGCAGGGATGGAACAAGAATCCTTCACCCCCAGGAGCAGTTTCCAGATTCGAGGGACACACACAAGCTAACATCACCTGTCTATATCTGCCATTCCATCAATCGCTGCCTGTGAAGTAGGCTTGGTTGGAGCTGTTACTCTTACTTTACAGATGAAAAACTGAAGCTTACCCAGGCTCACGTATTTGAAAAATGATAAACTAACACTTAACTAAGTTAAAATCTGGCTCCAAATTCAATGCTTGTTTTACTATATTTAGTTGTTCATTTGTTTAGGAGTCACAAGGGCTGGCTCTGGGTTTATATACAACTCTAGCTCCTCACTTCCTCTATTTAAGTGCAAATTATTTTGGTTGAGCTTCAGTTTCTTCATCTACAAAACAGAGATAATAGTGCCCACCTCAGAGGGTGAGTTAATGCCTCTAAAAGCATGTAGCATAGTGCCTGACAACTAGTCAACCATTCAACAAATGAGTAAGGCAACCACTGCGTGTCTGTCTGGCCCTATGCTGTGTTATTGCTGGGTAGAGAGGACACAGCAGTGAATCACAAGTGTTCCTGCCCTCCAGAAGTTCCCACTTTGATAGTGGAAGACGTAGACAGTGACTAAATAAAGTCACATATGCTACGGCCAGCTGAGGTATGAAGAAAATGTAGGCACATTCATAAAAGATGGACTCACTTTGCCTGAAGGGAGTCAGAAATGGCATCACAAGGGATATGGTGTGTTAAAAGGATGAGTAAGAGCCAGCCAGGTGAACAAGGAGAAAGGCAAGGGCATTCAAGCAGCGGGCACAGGTGGTAAAAGGCATATGGTCTTCAGAGAGCACAGTGTGATCTAGTCTGGCAATGGCCTTTGCTAGGGGTGTCTAGAAACCACAGGTCACAAAGATGCACGTCCTTCTAAGGAATCTGAGGTTTATTCTGAAGATGAAGTACGGCAAGGGAAGGAAAAGGGAAGCTCAATTTTGTGTTTTGGTAGGTCCTCTCCGCTGGCGGTTGTAGAAGAGGGATGGAAAAGTAAGTCGCAGAGACCAGAGAGACCAGCAAGGAACCACGATTTTGTTTGAACAGAAAATGAAGCCTAAGATTGGATAAGCAAGTGGAATGGGAGCGCTACACAACGTAAACAAATGGGAGCTACTGTGGTCAGGTGTAGCCAGACTGCTGGAATTTGTAGGCGGCGCCCGGGAGGGCCGGAAACTCTGCGTTCTTCCCTCAAGCCCCGCCCCCATGACGCAGGCCCCTCAGATAACCCGCCCTCAGGCCCGCCCCCTGTCCCTGGGCCCCGCCCTCACGCCAGGTGCTATCCGGACGTCGGCACAGGTACGTTTCTCCGATCTCCACGGTGACTTCCGGCTCGCCGCGCGCCGGGGTCGGAGGAGAGACGCGGCCCGGGGACGGGGCGGCCCCCTCGACCGCCGCATTCTCCCCGGGCCCGGGATCGCTCTCCCCCGCGACCCCTGAAGTAGCCGCCGCAACCGCCGCAGCAGCTCCCTGTGCCGCCATCGTTGTAGTGGAAATGACGCCAGGATTCGGCGCCGCGCAGTGCTTTTAGTTCCGGGTCAGCGACGCGTGGCGGAGGTAGCTGCCGGTTTGAAGGTGGGGTCTGTGACGTAGCAAGAGTTCATTGGTTACTGCGGCCTTCTGGCGGTCCCTGGACAAGTTTGACCTTTCGGGTGCCAATCGCGCTGGACTTTTTTTTTTCTTCCGTATGGAAATATGGCTGAATCCTGAGTTGAAAGAGACCTTCGTGATGTGATGACTGAGTCAGATATTTTTAAAAGGCCTGGTGCCTGAGGAAGTTGAGGGGTGCCAATTACCAGAGGCACTGCCCCCACTTTACCCGGTACCGGGGCGGAGCCAAAGCTTGCCTCCCTGGCTGCCTGGCAGTAGGGCTTTAAGCTTGGAATTAATTTCCACCTCTGCGCCGCCCACTTCTGCCGTAAAGATTGTAAAGATTGAAGAAACTGCCATACTTGTTCACGGTGAGGGAAAACAGGACCGCTGTGTCCGGGGATAGCTAGTAAATTACTTTCATAGGATTAAGCTTTTCTAAAGAAAGTACCAGGCCACCCACAACAGATGTCCCCTAAACAAACTAGTCAAACACAACAGAAATCTTAGCGTCTTGGGCTTGGTGAGGAATCCCGGGTTCTGATCCTGCTCTGGGTAAATTGTACAAAGGTGTCCATTCTCAGAGGGTCCATAAAGGTTAAAATACATGATTGTATAATCCATAGAACTATATAAAGGGTATGTCTTATGTATATAAGTGTGTTGCACAGTACTCCGCAGGGTAGGTACTCAATAAACATTGTTTTTTTGCCATCCTCTGAATTTTCTTTGACTTGCAAATTGGTTATAGGGCTTAGAAGCTCATACTGGTTATTGGGGTGGAACCTGAGGCCTCCTCAAGTTGCAGATCAGTAGGAGTTCTTCGAGTGCCTGTGTGGCTCAATTGGTTAATCCTCGGACTTGGCTCAGGTCATGATCTCATGGCTGTTGAGTTCCAGCCCCAAGTCCGGTGCTTTGCTGTCCGTGTGGAGTCCGCTTCGGACCTCTGTCCCCCTCTCTTTACCCCTTTCCGGGGCGCGCGCTCTCTCAAAATAAACTAAAAAAATTAAAAATAGTTCCCTATGGGGTGGGGGTGATGGCAGTGGTAAGTGCTGGTAACTTGGCTTTGGGGAAACTAAAGAATTTTAGGGGGGGAGGGGCGCCTGGGTGGCTCAGTCGATTAAGCGTCCCGACTTCGGCTCAGGTCATGATCTCACGGTTCGGTTTGTGGGTTCGAGCCCCGCGTCGGGTTCGGTTCTGTGCTGACAGCTAGTTCAGAGCCTGGAGCCTGCTTCAGATTCTGTCTCCCTCTCACTCTGCTACTTACACGCTCATACCCTGTCTCTCCCACTCTCAAAAATAAACTAACACTTAAAAAATCTTTTTTAAGGGACGCCTGGGTGGCTCAGTTGGTTAAGCTAGTCCGATTTCGGCTCAGGTCATGATGTCACGGTTCGTGGGTTCGAGCCCCGCGTCGGGCTATGTGCTGATCGCTAGCTCAGAGCCTGGAGCCTGCATGGGATTTTGTCTCCCTCTCTCTGACCCTCCTCTGCTCATGCTCTCTCTCTCTCTCTCTCAGCAATTAAAAAAAAAAAAAAAAGAATATGGAGAAATCAGTCAGGCAAGACAAAATTAAAATTGTAATGCCTTCTCCCACTCCCCATCCCACCCCCCACCTTCAAGATTGTTATTCTATCCACCCAGGGTTCTGGTGCATCACTTTTGACTTCACTCAACATCTTGTTACAGGGATGCTGTCCTTTCTAGTTCAGGATTAACCCTAGCTTTATAAATCCCTGATCCAGGTTACTAAACCAACCTCCTCACTATTCTCCCTCCTCCTACTGTGCAAATCTGTTATTTCTAGAACTATGTAGATGCTTCACCCAGATCCTCTGGAATCTCTTTGTTACCTCTTCGGATCCATACCTACCCACCCTTACATCCCAACATAGACATTAACCAATGATTGTCAAGTAAAGGAGTCCATCAATGACTGTGGAACTGAACTCTCTTGCCTCCAATTCTAAGGCAAAACTTAACTAGTTCTGGACTTTTGCCGGAGATGACATCCTTGTTTGGTTTCCTGCCCTTCCCTTTCCTGCTTCCCCTCCTCCCTAACCGGAGCACTTTCTCAACAAATCACATGGACACAAACCCTCCTGTGTCTGCTTTGAGGAGGAAATCCAACTGGAACCATCCCTTCCTAGCTTAAAAGCTGTCCATGTATCGCTGCTGTCTGCAGAAGGCCTGTGCTTCTTGGCTGTACTCTGGCCTCACCCCCCTGCACTGCAGCCAGCAGAATTTTCAGTCTGGTAAGTCACTGTGGTTTCTACCACCTGGCATTGACCTTCAGATACAATTCCTTCTCCCCTCAATCACCCACCTCCATCACCAGTCCCACCAAAGCAGGCTTTCAGGCCTGTCTTCCCCTCCCCTGGGTCCCACCTGCTCTCTGGAGCCCTTTCTTTTAGCCCTTCCTACCAGTGCCCCACTGTCCCTTGGCACCTGCCAGGGTATAATCTTGTGTGTTCCTTTTCCTTGGCAGAAGTAGGCACAGCTGGCAGGCAGTATTTTTAACCTGACTCAGGCTCAGGAATCAGGTGGCTCAGGTCGCCCAGTCTGGTGACCTTCACTTCCAGAACCTGTGACTGCCAGGAAGGGAAGAGTCAGAACTGACGCCTGAAGCTGGGCCAAGTTGGGCCTTCAAAATTATCTGGGACCCAGAAATATTTGTTAAGTGAAATGGTCTTTGCACAAACTGCCAGTCATCCCAAGTCCCGCCAAACCAAATGTACAGACTTGGGGGGCAATTCTATACGTAGCCTGCCAGGCTGTCGGGACAGTTAGAAGCTAAGACATGAGCTAATTAAACCCAAGGGCCCAGGGAACCAGAACAGGGTGGAAACAAAAGCTCACCTGCCCTCCCCACACACGGGGCCCAAGAGGGCATTCAAAATGTGAACTTTAATAACAAACAGCAGTCAAGGTGGGGGTTCCCCAGGAACGAGAATAACGGAGCTGGTGCTGGAGGCCTCAAGGGTCCCCACTTCCTGCCCTCCAAGGCCTGGAGGCAGGGAGGCAGCAGCACCGGGCTCCATGTAATTCCATATATTTGGGGCCCTAAGACCCCAGATGCAGCAGCATGTGGAGCAGGGCGACACCCTGCCTCACCCAGAAGGTCCCGGCAGGGTGTGCAGCCCAGGCCAGGCAGGCAAGCAGGCCCCGGGCTGTGGGGTCAGATGCGGAAGCTTTCCTCTCGGCCATCAATGTGACGGAGCCGCAAGTAGACATCTGTGCCAATGCCCTGCAGGGACTGCAGCCGGAGGGAGCCACCGAGGTATTCCGCGTAGGCCCGTGAGGTGGGCAGCCCGAAGCCGAAGCTAGGATGGATGGGGCAGAGGACAGGGGCTTCAGAGGCTTGAGTCTCCTGGGGTCCCCCCACTCCCCACTGTGGCCAGGTGGGGCCTCACCCGTGCATGGGCCCTGACTGGCCGCCACTGTGCATGTCCAGGTGACCAAAAAGGGGGCTGATCCGAGGGTCCTGGGTGCTGGCCTCAGCTGTAGTGAAGTGGTAGTCCATAACCCGATCCAGGTCTTTGTGAGCGATTCCCCCGCCCCGGTCTGAAATCCTGGCAGAATGTTGATAACATGGACTTGGCTCAGCTTTGGCCGGGGCCTCACTACCTCCCAAGCAAATAGTACCGAGTGAGCCTTCCTACCCCCTCCACCCAAAGATGGAATATGGTCCACCTGGACCCTTGGGCCTTGTTTTTTATGAGTGGCATCCTTCCATCCTCACTTCTGCTGGGCCACTGGCTGCTTATACCATCTCACAGGATTTTACATTTATTCTCAAGCCAGCATTGTGGACTGGTTACTCCTGGCTCCTCAGTCCAGGCCTTTCAGTTGCTGACAAGCACAGGGCCCTGGAGCCTGCAGCTGGCCCCAGATCCATTCATATCCAGTTCATGGCATTCTCAGAAACGAAGAGTATCTTGTCTCAGAGTGGGGCAGGTACTGGCTCAAGGTCATAGAGCAAGTCAGAAACAGTGCCTAGAACCCCCATATGTCCCAGCCCAACTCCCACTGAGGGCAAACCTGATGACGAGATCAATATCATTGTTGGCGATGGTGATGACCACATCTGGGACATTGTAGGGAGTATCCAGGTGACTCTCCATCGTGGCTCTATGCAGGGAGGGAAGACCAGTAGGTAGTGGCATCCCAGCTTCACCCCTGTTCCTCTCTTGCCCCCTTTCAGCATATCCAGCCAACCCACCTCATGGCGTTCTTGAGGAGCTCAGGCAGGATGTAGTCCAGTGGCATGGGGATGAAGGGGAAGCGGGCAGCCACGTGTCCATTGATGCGGACGCGGGGGGCATTGCCATACTTGTGCTCACACAGGCGTCTGTGGATAGGAGCAAGCATTCCAGCCTAGACCAGTGATTCTCAGATGGAGGTGATTCTGCCCCCACCACCCCTAGAGAAATTTTGCAATTTCTAGAGACATTTTTCCTGGCCACAGCTAGAAGTTGTATTAAGTAAAAGCCAGGCACCCTTCTAAAGATCCTAACAAGCACAAGACAGCTCCTACGAATTATCTGACCCAAAATGTTAATTGTGTCACATCTGAGAAAGCTTGCCCTAGACCATTCCCTAGGCTAGGGCTCAGACCCAAGCCTTCTGGGTTAGAAGATATCCACCCCCTTAGCTGTTCTAGCCTCACCTGGCAAAGTCCACCCACTTTTCAATAATCTTCTTTGGAGACAGGCGAGTGCAGATGATGCCAACAAAGTCGGGCTGGCAGGAGAAAGAAGGTCAAGACTAAGCAGCACCTTGACTCACACCATGGCCACCAAATGTTTGCAGTCTTTGGACCTCTGAAGCAGCCCAAACCTCTCCCCAGGTCCTTGGCCCAGTCCCCAGCCCAAGGAGGCCCCTGGCTCAGTACCCTCTGCCCCACCTGATAGGTCTCAGATCCCAGCACCCCACCTTGTCCTCATGCAGTGCCAGATGATGTGTGGCCAACATGCGGATCCCAAGCCTTGAAGTCAGTGTCTTGTCCAAGAAGTAGCGGACGAGCTTCTCGTCCTGTAAAGAGTGGGGTCTCAGAAACTCTGTGCCTTTCCCAGCCCCCCCAGTAGGCACGGGCGTCCACTGTGCTGCCCCTAACCTCTATGTGCTTCCGGCTCTCACGTAGGCCCTCAGCTAAGAGGGTCACCACATCCTTGTGGTCATCCAGCAGCTGTCGCACCAGCTGGCAGTACTGGGCCTCGTCCGCCTGGTCCTTGATCTATAGGCCACAGAGTCATAAGCATGGATGTTCCAGCCTTGACCTCTCAGCCCCTCACCCTGCCCTGGCCCAGCCCTCACCGGAGGGAAGTCTGTCAGCTTCTGGAACGCACGGATGTACAACTCGTGCTGCAAGGAAGAGGTGTGGGAATTCACAGGGATGTTATGGGCACTGGGTAGAGAACAGCCACCCATGCTTACCCATGGTGATTGCCATCTACCCCAATTCACTTGGTTTAAACCCCCATCATGGCCTTTTAAGCCTCCACGTATAGTCAGCTTTGGCCTCTGAAGGCTGGGATCTGAGTTTTCTGTGGCCCTGAAACCTTTTGGCAGACAAGTCTCTGCCACTCTAGTCCCGTTTCCCAATATACCCCTTGGGCAGTGGGCACATTGATCTAAGGTCCCCTCTAGAGAAACCCACGCCCCGAGACCACCTTACCACGTGCAATATGGTGGGGTTGCAGCCAATGATAAAAGGAAGGCTACGGAAGCCCTTGATGCGGTGAGCAATCCTCACTGGCAACTCTTGCTGCAAATACCGGGCACTTTTCTAGAAAAGAAGACGGAAGTCAGGGCCAGGACATGAGTGGTTGGGCCAGAGCTCCAGGGACCAAGAGAGAAATAGGGTGCAGAAATCTTACCAGAAGGTGGCTGCCATCCTGAGAGCGGCCTGAATAGAGCATCATAGTCGGAGTGAGGCGGACTGAGGGCTGGAGGGGGGGGCACATGGGCTTTGAGCACAGGATCTGCAACACCCCACCCCCACCACATTAGCTCCACCCCTTCCCTGGACACCCTTTCCAGCTCCGGACCGGCATCTTGCCAGCTGCGCACCTTCTCTGCTGCCACATCGATGGCCGACTGGTTGTAAAAGGAGGTGACAGTCTTGGAGCGCTCCCGCGCCAGCTCCACGTGGTGTGTATCGGTGGCTGATGTGGAGCGGACCCGGAGCGACAGTGCAGGCCCCAGTAAGGGGCGGAGTGGAGGCCCACTCCGGGGACCACTTCCCAGCACAGACGCCAGTATCATCGTTCTGCTCTGCTCCTTTTTTTCTTTGTCGAACTAGGCCGCTGCTCGGGCAGAAGACCGGATACACGGACACGACCCCAAAACGGGGCAGGGGTGTGTGGGTCCGAAGGGTCTCTTCTCTGACTTCAGGGGCAACAGCAGGTCAAGGATGCTGACAAGCTCAGCCCCCAGGGAACAGTTCCCATCTGTCAGGGAAAGGGAAGGGGGAGTTGTTAGGATCCGATTCCAGTCAACCAGCACCATATCTCCACGTGGGCACTTGGTATTATCAGTCCTGGGCAATCTCTGCCCACCCATTCAACCGCCTCCCAAACACATACAGGCTGAGCCTGCACAACCTTGTTTTCCGGGGTAATTCTTCAACTTGAGGCTTTATCTGGTGTTTGGAGGGTTGGGGATCCTCAGACTCTTCCAGCCCGAAAACAACGCCCCCGCTCCCTAGGGTCCTGAGCACCCCAGTTCAGGGGGCGGGGTTGACCCCCTACTCAGCGCCTTTAGACCTGGGCCCCTCGAGTGTGGCCTGCTTATGTGTGGCACACAGTATTGTGCCCCCGGCTGCCTCAAAGTAGCGGCCCGGGAGTCGCCGTCTGGGTTTCCCCTCCGCAGGGTCACTTGGTTCGGCCCGGATCCCCCCTATATGGTAGATGCCACCCCTGCCCACGCGCACGCCACAGTCCTGCGCAATGGCGGAGGCTATGAGCACGCGCCGCCAAGCCTCTGCAGGCAGGTTACTCCACTTACCGCGGTGCCAGGGCCAGGGCCAGAGCCGAGGTCCGAGCGGAACGGCCAACAGTCGACCGGCCGGGGTAGACAAGATCGCCTGCGCCCTCTGCCGCTGTGACGTCGCCTGGGCTTTGGGGGCCCGGTGCCTCCTGGGAGTTGTAGTTTGGAGCCAGCCCATCCCGGCCACACCCATGCTCCTGGACCCCCAAAATAAATTCCACGGCTCCTTCCACAGGTCTCTCGGAGTTATTTGTGGTCGCCCTCGGTCCCTCTCTCCTGCTTTATAAAATGGGCTTCCTGAGAGCTAACGGAAGAGGGCAGGAAGACCCTTAGATGCAAAGCAAACCGACCAAACCCTGAGTCCCTTCCCTGCTCTCCCAACCTCCTTCCATCTCTTGACTCATTTATGGAAAATCAAACTGCTGGTTCAAACCCCACCTCAGCACTTACTAGCTGGGGCAACTTACTTAAACTGCTCAATCGTTTAATGTCCATGTTGGTATAATGAGGATGTATCAACCTTGGGGTTGATGTGTGGATATATGAGTTTATATATATGTAAATTGCCTGGAACAGTGCCAAGCAGAAATTAGCACTATCTGTTAGGTATGTTACTATTATTCATTCATACCTGCCACACTGATTGGGTAATTTTCTGTGCCAGAAGAGGAGTTTGGGTATTGAATCAAATAAGTAGATCCTTCCCTGCTCCAAAGAGAAAGACAGTTTCAATGTCATTAATCCTGATGGTGATGGAAGCATTAAATAGGGTCTGGGACATTGGTATAGGTGCAACATGAGTAGGTCTCAGGCAGGAGCCTAAGCTGGAACGGGAAGGGCATAGAAGGACAGAGAATAGCCTGGATAATCTGCAGATACACCTGCAGCCATGTAGAGGCTGGGAAGGAGAAGGGCCCGATGGGGTGGCCAGAACCAGACCATGAAGGGTGAGGAGTTTGCATTTGTTCTGAGGCTAAGAAGTCACTGAAGGGTTTTGATTCAATCTGCTGGTTAAACAGAACCTTCTGGAAGTAGTGGTTGGGAGTGTGAGAGACCAGTGAAAAAGTAATTACCTTTTTCAAGCAGGAGATGATTGGGAGGAGACTTTTCAGTGTGTGTGTGTGTGTGTGTGTGTGTGTGTACACTTGTACTGTTGGATTTTTCTTTACCGTGGTTGTGTGTTTTCTAAGTATTTAAAAAAATTTTAAATATTTATTTTTGAGAGAGAGGTGCAGAGAGAGAGGGAGACAGAGGATCTGAAGTGGGCTCTGTGCTGACAGCAGAGAGCCCAATGTGGGGCTGGAACTCATGAACTGTGAGATCATGGCCTGAGCCAAAATCTGATAGTCAATCGACTGAGCGACCCAGGTGCCCCCCAATTAAAAAAATTTTTTTAAATAGTTTTCATTTTATTTTTGAGACAGAGAGAGACACAGCATGAGCAGGAGAGGAGCAGAGAGGGGGGGGGGGGAGACACAGAATCTGAAACAGGCTCCAGGCTCTGAGCTGCCAGCACAGAACCCGACGCCAGGCTCAAACCCACGAACCGCGAGACCTGGGCCGAAGTCGGACACTTAACCGACTGAGCCACCCAGGCGCCCCTTAATTTTTAAATTAATACCTGGTTAAGTGAGGCAGGCAACATCTTTGGAGCCCTAAGTCTTCAGCAGAGGTGGGACCCTTCACTGCGGCTGACCTGCCTGAGGAATTGGGGGAAGGTGGGCATACCCATGAGGAAACGGCTCCCTGAGTCTCTGGATATCCTCTGTTCCCCCTAACCCCCACACCATTCCCACCCTTTCTTTCTCAGCATCCTGGCAATATCCCGGAGTGGGCAGAAGGCCACTCAGCTCTGGAGGCAGGCACGGCTTGAGCTGGTGGAAGAAGGGAGAAGGAAGGGTGGTTCGGGTGAGGAGGACAGCACGCACAGAGAAGCAAAGGGCACCGAGTGCTTTCAGTGTGCCAGAACTCGGCGCTCACGCGTCCGCGGCGTGGACCAAAGCACACAAGCGGGAGGCGTCTGGGCAGGGCTTCACCCCTTTTTCACCCTGCGCGCTAGACCAGGACTCGGCCTTAACTCGTTGCTGCCACCTAGCGGCGGAAGTTGGAAATACACCCCAGAGTTCCGTAATAATAGAGCTCACCGTTGGCCAGGCACTCTTCTGAGAGCCCTTTGCGTATTAATTTCCATCTTCGTAACAGCCCGCTGAGGCAGGTACTATTGTTATTATCATTTTACAGAAAGATTAAAGACTTGTTCCCCTCTTTCCTCTCTGTCCTTTCCTCCCACATGCACTGGCTTCAGCCACTCTGGCCTCCCTGTTGCTCCCTAAACATACCAGTAACATTCCACCTCAGAGCCTCTCCCTGCCGTTCTCTCGCCTGGAATACCCTTCCTCTAGATAGCCATATAGCTTACCACCTCACCTTCTTCAAGCTTCTGCCAAAATGTCAATTGAATGAAGCCTGCACTGACCATCCTCTTTAAAACTGCAGTCACCTCCATTCCCCTTGCTCTGCTCTACCTTTTATTTGTAGCACTTATCACTAATAACATACTATATATTTTATGTATTTATTATATTAACTGCTCACTTTTTTCTCCTCTTCTAATATGTAAGACCAGAGCATGAATATTTGTCTGGTTTCCTAATTTATCCCAAACTCCTAACACAATCCCCTGGCACATAACATGTGCTCAGTAAACACTTGTTTTTTTCTAACATTTATTTATTTTTGAGAGAGAGCGAGAGAGCGAGTGAGCACAAGCTGAGGAGGGGCAGAGAGAAAGAGACAGAATCCAAAGCAGGCTCCAGGTTCTGAGCTGTCAGCACAGAGCCAGACACAGGGGTCGAATCCACAAACTGTGAGATCATGACCTGAGCCGTAGTCAGTGGCTTAATCAACTGAGCCACCCAGGTGCCCCTCAGTAAACATTTGTTAAATAAATGAAGGAAATTTGGGGCTTTATTTTCTGAGCTATTGAAATGGGACACTATTGAAAGGCAGAAAGTGACAGAACTACATCTTTTTTTTTTTTTTTTTTTCAAACGCTGGGCTTGAACTCACAACCTAGATCAAGAGTCACAGGCTCTACCAACTGAGCCAGCCAGGCGCCCCTACATCATTCTTTTTTGAATGGATCACTTTGATTGCAGTGTGGAGAATCAATCTGTGGATGAGGGACAAGTATACCTGGGAGACCATCGAGGAGACAGCTGTATTTATCTAGATTACAGGGAGTGAGAAAGTAGCCCAAAAGGAGCAGCTTAGGCGGATGGAGGGGCCATATTTAAAATGGGAAATCCCAGAAAAGGAACAGGTGCGGGGAAATGTAAGGGGTTTGCTTTTGGGTGCATTGCATTGCATCTGATTGGCCTATGAGGCATCCAGATGGTGACATCCAAGAGGTGCTTCTATGGGGTTTGGAGCCTAGGAGAGAGATCTAAGCTCAGGTCAGAGGTTGGAAGTGGTGACCTATAGGGAGTAAGAGAAGAGACAGGGGAGAAAATGATGTTGTTCGAGGTGGAAGTTTGTATTTCCAAAAATGGCCCACCTCACATGAACTTCTTAGAATATGACTTCGACATTTCTCAGATCAAGAGATGGAGTTCTGGGCCGCCTGGGTGGCTTAGTCGGTTAAGCGTCCAACTTTCGCTTAGGTCATGATCTCGCGGTTCATGGGTTCGAGCCCCGCGTCGGGCTCTGTGCTGACTGCCAGCTCAGAGCCTGGAGCCTGTTTCAGTTTGTGATTCCCTCTCTCTCTGACCCTCCCCTGCTCATGCTCTCTCTCTCTCAACTAAAAAAAAAAAAAAAAAAGAGAGATGGAGTTCTGGGGCACCTGAGTGAATCAGTCAGTTGAGCATCAAGACTCTTGATTTTGGTTCAGGTAGTGATTCCAGGGTCATGGGATCAAGCTCTGTGTTGGACTCTGCACTGAGTGTGGAGCCTGCTTGGGATTCTCTCTCTCTCTCTCTCTCTCTCTCTCTCTCTGTCTCTCTCCCTCTCCCCTGCTTGTGCTCTCTCTCTCAAAAAAAAAAAGAGAGAGAGAGAGAGACAGACAGACAGAAAGATGGAGTTCCATGTTCTTCCCCTTGGAACTGAGGAGGCTTGTGCACAGTAAAAGGGATACTATGTGACTTTAAATATGCCTGGGTGGCTCAGTCGGTTAAGCTTCCGACTTCAGCTCAGGTCATGATCTTGTGGTCCGTGAGTTTGAGCTCCGCGTCAGGCTCTGTGATGACAGCTCAGAGCCTGGAGCCTGCTTCACATCCTGTGTCTCCCTCTCTTTTTGCCCCTCCCCTACTCATGCCCTGTCTGTCTCTAAAAAATGAATAAACCTTTAAAAAATTTTTTTAAATAAAAGCTAAATCGTAAAAAATGATTCAGTTTCCACCTGGCTCCCCGGAGTTACCTGTACTAGAATCTTGAGCTGCCGTGTAAAGCAGTCTGACTGCCCTGTATTAATCCTGTATCACTGTGTAACAAACTATCACCACAACCATAGCAGCTCAAAATAATAAACATTTATTATCTCACACAGTTTCTTTGGGGCAGGAATCTGAAAGCAGCTAAGCTAGATGGTTCTGGCTCATGGTCTTTCATGAAGTTGCAGTCAAGATGTTGGCCGGAGAACCCATTTCCAGGGTACCTGTCTCACATGCTTGGCAAGTTAATGCTGATCATTGGTAAAAGGTTTCGGTTCCTTACTAGGTGGACTGTTCCCTAGGGCTGCTTAAGTGTCCTCACAGCATGGCAACTGGCTTCACCTGGAGCCAGTAATCTAAGAGGGAGCAAGATGGAAGCTGTTATATCTTGACTTAGCTATGAAAGTGACACACTATAATTTCTGTCTTATTCTACGGGCTCAGGTCAACCCTGCCTAGCATGGGAAGAGACTATACCATGGTGTGAATACTAGAAAATGGAAACCATTCAGAGCAATTTTGAAAGCTGACTATTGTAGCCTGGGGGCTGCTATGCTGGGAGAAAGCCCAAACTAGCCCCTAGAGAGAGACCACATGGATCTTGAGACTATGAAAAAAAAGAGAAAAAGGCCGCCTGGGTGGCTCAATCAGTTAAGCATCTGACTTCAGCTCAGGTGGTGATCTCATGGTTTGTG